ATACTTCTCAGCAAGCTGTTTGCGACTCATCGCCCTGCTTGCTTTATAGTCTATAAATATTTAATTCTTTAATAAACTGCTTATATGTAATATCAAATGACTGATGTACTTCTCTCCCCTCTTCAGCAGTGCTACTATTTGCAAAACAATTCTTTTGGTGTTTTGAATAGCAATATGTTCTATAAATGCTTGAATTTCCTTTTCCTAAATAGCAATTTCTTCAGGGTATTTGGTGAATTGACAAGCAGTGCAATGGCTCCAGGAACTGCCCCTTCCTAAAGCTTCCAAAGGGCCACAGGCTGCAATCATGGGAGTGATATTTCTGGTAATATTTCCCACCTGTGCATGTCAGGAAATGGTGGGAGCCTGGCTGCAGAGCCATGTGAGCACATTGGGCACTGTGTGGACTGGGGTGGGGGTGTCGTGCAATGAGCATCCTGACTCTGACCATGTGCTGCATCCCCACCTCCTCTGCCTCACCCACTGCATGCTCCACACTCATTTTCCCAGCACAGTCTCCTTCCTGCTCCTCTTGTGGAAAGAGTGACTCTGAGTAGCGCTTGTGGAAAGAGTGACTCTGAGTAGGTTTGGTCCTAGGCTTGGCTCCATCTTTCCTGGGGGGTTCTCTACCCTGGGAGCATACAGCAGGCTGCTGGATTCCTCTGGCAGTCCCCAGCCTTTGGGCTCCTTCTGGCATTCCGGACCCTCTCCAACATGCAATGGGAGCAGCAACCTTGAGGACTGCAGAAGTGTCAGCCAAGTGGGGGCATGGCTAGAGCTATTGATCTGCTCTGCAGCCTGTTCCACATCTGGGTCAGAACACTCTGAGGCTGGCAGCCAGCTGTGGTCAGGGTTACAGGCTGCCCTAGCTGCACTGGGACCCATGGGCAGAGTGGACAGCCTTGCAGAGCTGGCAGGGAGGGCTGTCTGTCAGCATGGGCACAGGAAGGGACAGTGGCACCGCACTGCCACGTCTGTGCCTCTCAGCCTCAGTCGTTGTCTTACCCTCCACCTTGGGGGAGGTTTCTTCTCAGACTCTGAGCTTTTAATCTCTTCCCTAAGGCTCATGGCACGCCAAGGCACTCTTTGGGATTGGGCACCATGCTCTGCTGCCAGGGCAGAACCAGGTGGGGGAAGGATTCAGGGGAATGATGACAAGGGCATGGTGCAGGCATTGCCTTTCTGTGGAGTCGCTTTGTGTTGGTTCCAGTTATTCTGTATTCCCAGGTTCCATTTGGTCTGAACAGACACCCTGGCACTGAGCTGCTTTGAGGCTGGAGACCAGAAAGATGGGGCAGGGCCAAGTGACACCTTTGGGGTTGCTGTTCCACAGGGTCCAGACCAGCCACGTTGGGGTCAGGAAGCCATCGACTGGGGTGGATGGGCTGGATGTTGGAACGAGATGTTCATTAAGGTCCCTTCCAACCCAAACCGTTCCATTATATGATTCTATGGTCTGCACAGATCACTCCATCTGATCCTGGATGCTCTGTTCCTTACAGTCAGCTTTAGGCTGCTTGCTTGGGTCCAGACTGGTTTGAACACAGGTTCCTTGTTGCCAGGGTGGCAACATGCCTTAGCCGTGCCCCTGAGAGGCTGTAAGGGCAGGACATTCACACCCAGCTGCTGAGTCACATTGCCAGTTGGGTTATCCCTCCTGTCCTGGATTTTTGCAGGTGGTTTGGAATGGCAAGCAGAGCTCAGGTTTGGGATTGCTGCCCAGAAGCAGTCCTGTGTCCTGGTTTTGATCAGACCTGGCAGCCTGTTGTCTGTGCATGGTCTCCTGAGTGCCCTTGCAGAAGGAGTGGGTGTGTGTGTGTATGTGACAGGGATGCATCTGTTGAGATGTGGGAAGGGAGTGGAGGCAGATGACGGCTGGATGGGCCCGTGGTCAGGAGTCTGAGCAGGATGGGGCAGCAGCCACCCTCTTGGCTACGGGTCACTGCACCCACTGCACCCACTGCACATCGGTCCTTAGACAGACTAGAGCATAACCTTCCTCTTTGGGGTCTCATATCCCTTTGAGGGCGGCCTGCCTGAGGACCCTGCTTACTGTGTGCCTGGGGGTCACAGCTTTCTTTGGGCAGGCTCTCGTACCACTGCTGTGCCTGTGGCAAATGGCACACCCTCAGAGGCAGTGAGTCCACCCCACTCTGACCACGAAGGGACTGCTCAGGAGCCTTGCTGGAGCTGCAGTTACAGTCTGTGCGTGCCCAGGACATGGGAGGAGAGGAGGCTCTTCTCGCAGAGAGTCCCATCTGCAACTGACCTTCCTCTCCACCTGCCTCTCCCTTTTCCGGTGGAGAGGAGACTGATGTTCCCTCCCTGACACCACATCTGTCTGCAGCCTGAGCCCTGCCCACCACCAAGAGGGTGTGGAAGCTGCAGAGCCGTCCAGGATCAGCACAGGGCAGACACACAAGGCACAGACCCCCAAGTTGATGTCACACAGCTCAGGTGAGGGTGTTGCTGTTGGCTGCCAGCCCACTCTGTTTCTCTTTGTTCACCCCTTGCTGATGGACATGGGTGCAGATTCCAGCCTAGAAGAGCAGCAGGACAGAGCAGCCAAGGGGTCCCACATTTGTATTTTCATACTTGTATTATCCAGGTACTGCTCACTACTCTGAGGAAAATGGGTGCGGGCAGATCTAGCCAGCTCTGGGCTCCCTGTCCCCAGCAGGCTTCCTGAAGACACAGTGGCCAAAACTGCTCTGCCCACTGGCCTGTGGTAGGGACCCCCTGGGCACCACATCAGCACTGTGTCCCTTGGTGGGGGATGCCAGCCTGGCATCAACCAGCATCAGCCAGTGCCAGTGCCTGGGCAGCATGTTGTCACACCACCCTCGAGCTGTCATCGGGCCCCTCTTTGTCACCGAGCTGTGCCACTCAGCACATTCTCCCTCTGCTTCCTTTTCTCCTGTCCTCCTCCCACCACACACTTCTGAAGGAAAACCAGGAATCATCCAGGCATCCAGCTCTCGGCGCTCTGGGTCTCTGGCAGCGAGCATGCCCAGTGCCCTGGCTGAGGGATGAGTGATGATAAATAAGTAAATCACGCAGTGGGCTGAGCGATTCCCCAGCAAGCCTGTTTGTCCCAGGCACAGTGCAAAACCCTCTTCTCCTTGGCGATAACCTTTCTGCGTGCTCACATTATGCATGTATTCATGTGACTTCCTCTGCCTCACCGCCACCTCTTCGACTCATTTAAATAAAAATAATTTATGTGGACATTCCTTCAGTCAGGATTCCCCCCCCATAATATTTCATTGATGCTGTGAACCCAAATGGGGTCGTTATGCTTTTGCATATCATTAGGGCTTTATAAAGAACAACAGCGACATCTGCATGTGCCGCAGCGCCACAGAGATGGGGGAGAATATGGAAAACAAACCCCAGATGAGCTCCAAGCTCATCTGGCTCTGTCTTTCCTCAGTGCCTTTGCCTCTACCATGGACACAAGTAATTGTACAGTGTAATCACATCACGGCTCATCTGAATATTCATAACCAAGACAAAGACTTGGAGGAGAAGTGGGGGAGGGAAAGGAAGATAATTTAAATATAAAACAGTATTTCATTTGGAAGCAAAGTTCCGCGTTCAGCTCAAGAGATTGTCTTGGTACCAAATCGGTGTGTCTGTCTGTCTGCCTCCTGTGTGGAAGCATGGGCAGTGGGAGCACCACACCCGCAGCCCCCACCGTGGAGACAGAAAATAAAACACAACAACAAACAGTGGCAGAACTGCCCCCAGCCAAAAGGATGTTTGAAGAGTCGCCAACGGTGGCTAACCAGCTGCTGGTCTCCAGGAAAGAAATAGTCTATTGAGGGAGCTTTATAAAGACGCCAATTAATATGTTGTGCATGTATAAGATCTACAAAGAGCCCACTGTGTTCCTCCCCCCGCAACCACCACCTTCCCTTCCTGATCAGTGCCAGTGGAGAAGGATCTGCACTACCAAATAATTGATTAATCATTTCAGCAGTGACAACGCCCCTCTCCAAAATAAAGAGAGAAGAAAAACAAACACAAAAAGAGGCAACTGTTCGCTAATTAGCGTGTAAATTACCGCTGGTTCCATCCTTCTTTGTGCCTTTAAAAAAGGAAAAGAGAAAGAGTAGAGAAATATATTCCCCATCTTAATGTATATGTTGTCTTCATTTCTTTTCTATTACTCTGGTATCCTTCACCAGTATGAACCCAGCAGTGTGGTGTTTGTCGAAGCTGTGGCTGGCTCTGCCAGTTCGTTCCCCAAAGAGCTCCTATTTCCATTCCACTGGAGCTTATATTCCTTTAAATGTCTAGCGCAGCATCATTTCCCCCTTTCTAATACATCACTCTGCTGGAATTAGAAGAATCCAAGGTTATATCCAACTTCAAAGGTTTCCAAGTCATCATGATTTTAATAAAAGGAGAAGATAGATCATGGAACAAGTCCCTGGCTTTTGAAGATAGGCATCATAGGGACCTTCCTCCCTCTGTCTCGTTCTCGCTCTCGCACTCTCTCCCCCCAACTTTGTACCTCTCCAGCTCTGAATGTCCCGCGCTAGCGCGGTTTAATGATATGCAAATGAAATATGCATAAAACCATTCTACTGTATGATGATTAAACACTGGAGACATTAACCGCCGACGCTTCGCTGTTTGACTATAATAATCTTTCCCGAGCATCCACTTTGATTGCGGAGTTATGGAAACCCATAGCAGTTGGCAGAGAGGGAGTAAGAGAGAGCGAAGGAAGGAGAGGTGCGGGGACACATCACCCATCTCTGCATTTATCCCATTCCAGGAGACGTTTCCCCCCTCTTTGTACTGCGTTCCTACTGCTGTCTTTTGTAATCCATCCATGCGGTCGCACCAGGGCGATTAACGGGAAAAAAAACCTCTTTTCTCTTAATGTTTCAAAGCTCATTAGCCAAACGATTATTCCTCATTAACAGCGAAAGCTCATTCATTAAAAGAAAAAATATGCCCAAAAGATGCCAGCGCTGTTAATCCTGAGCCCTGTAGCTGGGCTGTAAATCCCATGCTAGTATTTTCCATGAAGAAGGGAAGTGCGCCAATCCACAAAAAAAACACCAAGCAAAAAGAAAACATTTTGTGTGTTTTGTAAAATCCGCAAGAGAGGCAATTAATATTCCCGTTGTATGACTTTATTTTTTTGTCTCTCCCTTTTGTCTCCAGTGCCCTTCCCTGGCTCAGCGCCCGGTGCCAACAGAACACCTTGCAGGATCCTCAGCAGCGCAGACAACGTAAGTAGCCAGCTGTCCCTTGATGCCCTCGTCCAGAAGCCCTGCGCCCTCCAGACCCTGTGGAGCGCCCGTGTGGCTCCTTCCCTCGCTCGCCCTCCGAGTGCCACCTGGGTTTCACAAGTAGCACCTTCCAAATCTCTCTGTCTTCAAGTTTGTGCATGTCTGTGTGGCATCCCTCCTCCTCCTTCACTCCCATAGTGGATCTCGTGAAGGGCTTCAGATCGGCCCCATTCATCTCCCTGGTGATAGCAGTGAATGTAGATAAATCTCTGCCTGCCTGCTTGCTGCTCCAGTATGATTTTTATTTTGTCTTCCGTGTATACCTAGGTCAAAAAGTGGGATGTATACTGACGGTGGGTGAGTGTGTGTGTGTGTCTGTGTCTGTCTCTTCCTCACTCCCTGTCGTTCTCTCTCACCGAGGCACACAAACATACTTCTCCCTGCGTGTGTGTGTTACACGCGTGCACACAAATAAATATCCACACACCGACACGTGTGTGCACACACAGAGGCAAACACACACCTCCTCACCCCCCCACTCACACAGCTCCTCTTCACCGACCCAAGGCAGTGTGTGCGTGTATGTCTGTGTGTCCGTATGCACTGTTCCATGTGCGTGTGCATACACAGGCATCTCGCTACACCGTCAAACATTCCCTCTCCTCCCAGCAGAGGCTGTGTGCAGCTCTGATCCTGCCCTGTAAGAGTGGTATTCCTTCCTCCCTTCCTTCCCTCAGCGTGCTGTTCCGAGACCTTCGTGCTCCCTCCTCGGGGTCCCTCCTGAGCTGCAGAATTGGCACCTTTCCCCGAGGTTGTCCGAATGGCAAATGGCACTGGCCAGAGCTCGCATTCTTGTAGCTTCTCATGGCATTTCTTCCTCCATGTCGGCTACTCCCTTTTGTTTGTTGTTGACTGGTCTGGGTGTGGTTGGGGTTTTTTTTGGCATTAATTGTAAACGAACCTGAATGGCAAAACACACCAACAGCTTGCGGGGAAAAAAAAGAAAAAAAAAAGCAAAGCCCCACACAAACGCCTTCTGCTGCGACAGATGCCCACGTTGCCCCTGGCATGGCAAGCGGGCACAAGGGGTTTGTTGATGAGGTTTTTTCAGTTGCTGTGTTTATTGTTCGTATTTCCCTTTTCCATTTATTTTTAAAGACTCCAAGATGCCGGCCTCGGCTTGGAACGGAGCGGTGTCATGGCGGAGACGACGGCCTTTGTCTCGCAGGGTGTGAAAGCATCCGTTGTGCTGGCTCCACTGCGGCAGAATGACGTCTAAAGGGGGGAAAAAGTGCTGGAAGTCCGAGTTGTGCGGTGCTGGTGGGGGAGCCCCGTCCCCACGGTGTGCGTCCGAGGAAGGGCTTGCGGCAGAGGAACCTGGTCTGTAATCCTGGCACTTGTGCCTCCGGTCGCTGCCTGCCGTTTGCTCCTGGGGGTCTGGATAATCTCCCTTGGCTCTACGGCACTGTCTGGCCCACGCACAGGGCCCCCGTAACATATACCCGCTGCCGCGATCACAGGGAGCTGTGGCGTTGCCACTGAATGGATGGCACTGTGCCAACTCCGCTGCCATCCGCCCTTGCAGCTCTTTTCCTCCCTCCTCCCTCCCGCTCTCCCCTCCTCCTCCTCCTCCTGTCGACTTGATGTTAATTAACACACGGGTTAATTGATTTTAAAAGCTGAAGAATTACAGTTAACTTTTCCCACAGGGTACGGACGCCAGCCGCCTGGCACGGCTCTGCCTCGCGCGGGTGCAGGGGGGCAGGGAAGAGCTCGCAGCAAAACCAGCCACTGCAGAGGGATGAATGGACGGCCGTCGACTGTTGGAGTGTGGCTGGGGCAGCTGATGCTCCTGCCTCATCCTCCGGACATGTCACCACTGAATTTTGCTATAAACAATCAACATGACCCCTCCCCTCGCCTCTCCCACCCACCCTCCTTTCAGGACGAGTGCTGTCGAAGTTTCAGCAGGGAAGCTGTCCCCCCCAAAGTCCCATCAGAGTCCGGCAATGTCTCACACCACAGGACTGCCCAGCCCGAGCACCCTGCATGACGACGTGGGGCGTCGGAGGGCCCCCGGCCCTCATGGGCTCATCCCGCCTGCCAGGGCTCAGTTCCCCTTATCGGCTCCAACGTGTCGCTTGGGATGAAGCATCACAACCACGGGAAAGTTAGTTTGTTGTAATTACGAGAGAAATAACCCATGTGGGGGCTTTGTTTTTTCGCTCTCCCTCGCCCCAGTGTGCTGCTGGTGAGGGTGACGGTGTGGCGGGAGGAGGCGCAGCGACGCTGGGAACTTGCTGCTTTCACCTTCCCGTGCTTTCATTTTATTTCGTTTTTTAAAAGCATGAAGCAAGTGAAGCGACGAGAGGAATCCATTATGCAAATCAGGTCACATTTGCATAATGTCTCATGACTGGAATATGCAAATGAGTTGTATAATTTATGAGTGCCAGTGTCTGTCTAAAAGTGTTTCCCAGAATTTATAAAAACTGCAGCGTGGGGAGGCAGCTGCCGGCTGCCCTGCCAGGAGGGTCCACGCTTGCTTTGCAAAGTCTGCCTGAGCCCAGCAGCCCAAACACTCAGGAATAAGAACTGATGCCCCTTCCCACCCTGTCCTCTTGCTTTATTTTCTGTTTCTCCCTCTGCAAAGTCCCCACCTGCTCCCCTCAAACTTCTCTGAGGGTGTGAGGCTGGGGCGTGGGGCTGGACGGCCAGGCAGTCCCGCAGGTGGCTCAGCCAGGGCTCGCTCAGGTCCCTCAGGGCTCTCCACAGCTGCAGAGCCCCTGCGCCGTTCAGGTAAGTGAGCTCATGGGCACGGTGCATCGGAGAGCTGCCTCCAGCCTCTGCCTCTACTGACCCGCACGGTGGGATTCCTGCTGGTTTGCCACGTGCCAGGTCCAGCCCCTGCTTGGATCCGAGCTCCATGACCTTGGGGAGAGCTACGAGGTCAGCGCAGGGCTGGCATTGCCAACGGAGGGACCCTGAGTGTCGTCCCCAGTGCCGCAGTGCTCGGCGTCAGCACTGGAAAGGTCTCTGGAATATCTGGACATGCAGGACAGGTATCAAGACTTTGTCTTTTTTTTCCTTCTTCCCTGCATGTCTGGTGATCTGGGGAGCATCAGGAGGATGCAGGTGGGCTCTTGGACCTGGGGATGCCACTGCCCCGAGCTGCCTGCATGGGGAGAGGGTAAATAATAATGCACTGGCCCGTGGAAAGTTGTGTGGGTCATAGCCTGCCCACTCTGGGCAGCATCCAGCGAGGAGCAGCGGGATGGGAGAGCCCAGGAGTCGGGGCAGCTCAGCATTGGCCTTCCTCAGCTCTGGGAGGTCCCTGAAAGGGCTTTTGGGCAAGAAAGTGTGATTTGCTGTTCTTGAGAGTCTGCATTTCAATTGTAAAACCCAGATGTGTTTATCTCATTGGTTCCAAATCAGTTTTGGTGCTAGCTACCTCTAAAGTGACAAATCTCACACTTTTCATCAGTTTCAAAACACTGTGTCTGTGCGTTTGGTTTGTTTAGTGCACGCAGCTCCAGGCTGTGACAGTGAGAGTCTTGCTGAGTGCCTCCAGGACAAAGAAGTGAGTTCATAGACTGTGCTTTTACCGGTGACTGGGGAGTTCTGTTGCGGGAATATGAAGAGACCCTCTGCATCAGGTACAGGGTACAAACTGGCACATACTCTGTGTGACACCAGTGAAAGGCAGTAGCACAGCCAGACTCTGAAGCATCTTTTGCTTGTTGTTGCTCAGGTTTGGTGCCTGCCCCCTCGCTGCAGGGTGACCGTCCCCCCAGCACCAAGGAGTCACTCTCCCTGTACTGGTCCTTGCAGGCACAGAGAAGTAGCTGAGTCTGATCTGGAGACAGTGCAGGACCAGGGCCACTGGGAACAACCGGTGTTTCCTGCTGGAGACCAGGTGCTTTGTGGAGGGCAGGAAGGGCCAAGGGCAGTGGGAGGGAGTGGGATGGTGGCCCTGGGGAATGTCCCATGGCTTCATGATCAGTGGCCCTGCAACGCCAGGGGTCAGGGATGTTTTTAATCTCAAGGCAAACCATTCTGCTTTGCTTGTCACAAAGACTCCTGCAGGCTGGAAAGGAGAAGAGAATGTCTGCTTATCTGTTGTGGTTTAGCATCAGCAGATTCTGCACTGCGACTGGTGCTGGTTCTCCAGATGGGGACAAGGATGGGCAGACTGTCAGGGCTGGCCAGCAGCAAGGCTGGGCCATGGGTGGGATGAGGAACTCGGGCTGTGGGGTAATTAGCAGGTGCCAGAGGGGACTCAGTGTCTGTTTGGGGAGAGCCCACAGCTCCGTGCAGAGCCGCCTCGCTGTGCTCTGGGCTGTGCAGGCGGCTGGTCCTGGTCCCATCCTCATGCCATGTGCTGCATGGGGAGCTGGTCCCAGTCCCCCTTGTGCTCTGGGCTGTGTGGTGTGCTGGTCCTGGTCCCACTCCTTGCACTCTTTGCTGTTTTCTGATATTTTTATCAAACCACCAAAACGCCTGAAGGTTCTCTCATGGTTTTGATACTGCAGCGAGGACTGGCAAATATTCTGAACTTTGTATTTAGGGATGAAAGAGCTTCTTTGGGGTGGGAGGAGGAAAGCTCATCCAGAACATACACTGAAACCTCCATATCTGCCAGACAAGATAGTCTGGTCTCTGTAAGTCAAAATAAGGAACAGTGCATCAGGAATCCCTCACACAGACCTGCTCATTCATGGTCTGGGTTTCTATTGAGGTGGTGCATTTTGTCAGCTGAACAGAGCATGCCTGACAGACCCTTGTTGCTCTCCTCCAGTGTTCTCCTGTGGTTCCTCACCGGTGGCATTGGAAGAATTCCCTGCAGCTCTGTCCTTGGGACTTCCTGGGGCCTTTGCCTGCAGGACTTACTCTCTGTCTCTTGATGAGGTAAGTCATCTGCAACACTGATCCAGGGACCTGTGAATTGGGACTCCTCTGTGCCTGGGGCCCCCCCAGCAGAGCACAGTTCAGCCATGTGCCTACTGGCAGTTGTTATCATTTCCACCAAGAAGAGTTGCCACATAGAGTCCCTCTTTTAAACAACTACTGCCTCCTTCCATTCCTCCTGTACCACTGCTGGTTTGAGTAGTGGGGTACAGTTACAGATAACCTCCAGGACCTCCAGTTCCCTCCTCACCTCTCCTGAGTAAGGCATGCACCGTCAGGCAATGCCAGCCTCAGCTGGATGGTTGGTCTCAGTTTTCCATTCCTATCAGTGCTGAACTCTGTGACAGTGTGAGCTGCTGATGCCAACTCAGTGACCCACGTTCTGAGCTGGCAGCTCTGTCCCAACCTTGCTTAGTTTTGCAGAAAGAGGGCAAGGTGCAGGCAGAGTCTGAGCACTGCTGTCTGACCAGGTCCATGGAGGCACTGGTCTGCCAGCAATAGGCATCAGCCACCAGCATCACATTACCAGCCTTGGCACACCTGACTGTGCCTGGCATCAGGAACAGCTTCTCTGCATGGGGCTTTTTGCCTGATGGTTGTAGATAACAATACTTGTAAGCAAAGTGTATAAAATCTTTAAATCTTTAACAAATCTCTCATTAATCCCAGCTAAGTAGATTAAAGCTGACTGCAGGCTCTAAAAAGAACCAAGCTGATCACTTGCAGAACAGAGAAAACATATACAGTGAAAACAGTCAGACTGTAAAATGTGCAGCTCCTATGTTCTTTAGTGTAGATAAAATTAAGGTGGCAGGATGGTAACCAGACCACAGGTCCTGGGATCAGTGGAGCCAAAGATTCGGTGAGATGAGGCAGTACAGCACAATTCTGTACAGCATGACTCAAAAGTGTCAAAGATGCTACAAGCAGATATTGTCTGTGTGCTGCAGACTCAGGGAATGAAGGGGTGCTGTGTGGAGGGCATCTTCAGCAAAACAGGACAAGCTGCTGAATTCCCAGATGGAAATCAGGATGCTTCTCAATGTTCAGCCTGATGTTAAGGTCCCAAGCATCAGACTGGCCTGTTTGTGGCTCTGGTACTCTCTCCACAGTGGTCACTGGAGCTGATCTATGTTTGCAGAGATAGCTCTGATTGGCAATGAAATGGTTAAATATCTTGGCACAGTGAAATTCAGCCACTTAGACTTTGCTTCAGTAACTGAAGGAGCAGATTTTGCAGGATTAGGCTCTTAGCTGGAGAGGTTAGGGGTTTGTCTTCCTTAGAACCAACCATGTGTTCCTTTCCTAGGTGTACATTCTGAGGTGTAAAGTACAGGGACATCACTCGCTGTAGCTGTCACAGGAGAGGTGAAAGCCCTCCACCAAAGGCCAGCAGTACTGTCACCGTGGTCACTCAGTGTTTGCAGCCAGCTGGTGCCTCCCTTCTTCTCCCCCTGGCCCTCCTGTTTGCCTGCTCACACAGTGCCTGTGGTTTCTGCTCCCCCAGACACTGTCTGCCATCCTTTCTCACGTTTTGCACATCCCAGTGGTGCCCACTCACTTTGCCAGCTCAGTGATTTTGTTTTCTTTGTCTTTGCTTTTGCCCTTGTCCCCACACACAGGACTGGGACTTTCTGCTCCAGCACCTACACCTCTGTGTCTCAAAGGTGGAACCATGGTGACCTGTGCTAAAAACTGCAGCAGTATCTCCTGCTGCTGTGGTCATACATCCAAATGTAAACGCTGGTGTTGGCTCCTGAAGAGCCAGGGTGACAGTCAGGCCAACAGCAGATTTTTGGGGTTTGGTGGTGAGCCAGGGGAAACAGGTGATGCAGGATACATCTGCTGAAGGGACCAACACTGCTCAACCAGCCAAACCTGGTGAGCCTGGCCCCAGAACACTCCCCCATTTTGGCAGATGGTGTTTGGCTATTCGAGAGCAGTTGAGATTTGGGGGTGTCTTCTGAGCAGGGGGATCATCACGTTGTCCCCTTGTCCCTCCCCCATCCCATGAGACAGACAGAACAGATCTGGCACAGGTGACTCAGCCTGGGCCCTCGTGCAGGCAGGGCTTTAGTGGCAGAACAAAGAAGCTGAAGTTTCCCAAGCTGCCCCAGCAAAGGGCTCCTAAAACAGTGACACATCTGTTCTAATAAAGTTACACTTGTTACTCGTCTAATCACGTGAGGAGATGGCTCGAAACAAGGACTGGAGGGTGTCCTGCCTTAACACAGCTCCGCCAAAATGACGAGAGGTTCCTGCTGTTGCTCTCAGGTTATTGTACTAAGATGCTGAGATCTGCTCCCCTTCCTCCCAAACAGGCAGTTTCCTCACCCTGCAAACTGCCCCAGGGCACAATAAGTAGGTTAATGCTTGTTTTAGGATTAGCCTGAGGGTGAGGGTTCCCTGAAGGAATAGCGGGAGCTGGGTTTGCTCTGTGCCTGTGTGAGTTCATGCGTGGGGATGCCTCCAAGGCAAATGAATTCCTACTGCTCCTATTTCATCGCTGTACGTCCCTTTGTCCCTTCCTCCTTCCGTGGGATGGTGATGTTCCTTGTCATGACAAAGCTTTGATTTCAGGCTCATATGCTTTTCCTTGCATTGTTTTTCCATTTTTTATTCGTTTTTCCATTTCCTTGCTTCCTAATCCTCATTCTGGCCAGGGCAGGGAGTGGGAGCTCCTGTGGGTTGCATTGGCCATGCCTCACGCTTCAGGCTGCCCCTGTTCTCTTATGGCCAGACTGGCTTCAGAAAAGGAAAACAAACCAAAATATGTCAGTGGTTTTTGAATTGCAAATCTGGGTGTTCAGAAGCCATGAAATGAGAAATTTCTTGTGCTTACCACAACATGAATCCACCCATGTTGGACATGAGCAGCATTTCCTATTTCTGCTCAGAGTCCTGGATAAAAAGCTTGGTTAAAACAGGTGTCAAGGCAGCTGCAGATGGGGAAAAACAGGGTCAGGGAAGAGAACAGGGAGGTTTTCGTATGTTCATCATTACAGATTTTGGCTGTGGCAAGGGAAAGTTAAACATGTGCTAGAACTGTGGATTCAAAGTTGATTTGCTATTTAAATTTTAACGTGTGAAGTTCCCATGTTTAATTTCCACATAAATATTGACTCATATTGTCACATAAAGGTAGTATTGACATTTTGCATGGAAAGACTCTCTTTTTGGTTGCTTGGCACCTCTTGACCCACATTCCCAACCTGCAGACCCTGGCATGTTGGTGCAATTCAGCCCAGCCCCAGGTGCAAGTGCCTGTTCTTTGGTGACTTGCTGTGTGCACAGATCCTGCGCTGGGAACAGATCAGCATGTGGCACAGGTGGTTGCTGTGTGAGGGATTCCTCAGCCTGCTGCTGTGGAACCTGGAAGTGTTGGATGGATGGCAGGTAGCGGCTTGAGAGCTGCTTTTAGTGACAGATACAGCTGTTGGGTTGCTGTGTTTGTTATGTTACTGGAGGCAGTGGATGAGTCAGGACCCTTGCAGAGACAGCTCTAATTGTCCTTGTCTTCCACTTTTTCATCCTGGAACACGAAGGTGTTTCTTTGCAGAATTGCTGAGCACTCATGCTTTTGCTTGAAACATATGAAACTCTATAAAGTCGTTAAGTGCTTCACAAATCAGAACTAGACACCTTGAATCAAGAACGTAAAACAAGAGGACAAATCTGGTGCTTGGGTCTCTCTCTGCCTCTATTTGACATTTGTAAAGTGCAGATGATAAAACTTTTTCCTCACAGGGTTGCTGAGATTAGGGAATGCTCCTGGAGAATTGAGAGTGATGAATGTCATAGGAATTCCACAAGCAGCTTAATAACAAAGTTCTGTGAGAGGTTTGAAAAGTGGGCACTAAATGCAAGGTGGAGCTGGAGCCACACACTGAGCTGTGGCAGAGACCAGGAAGCACTGACTGATACCTCTTCTGTGCACATTATTCTCCATGTGGATGAGTCCAGGGTAGTGTGAGATGTGCATTGGAGCCCATAGCATATGCTTACACAGAAGGGCCCAGATTGTGCTGGCAACATTGATTCTGTCATACCCAGTGTTACAATAGTATCTCATGATTGTAGTGTTTTTCTAAAATAACTGTAGGCGTTGTTCATAAATTAAGAAATTCCATCTGTACTTGTGCATGTTTCCATACTTCGTCCAGCTAATGAGAACTGCGAGGTTTGGCATCCTTTGAAAGCTTCCTCAGTAGTAAATGTGATCGGAGACACCAGAGCATTCTCCTGGCTATCAATCTGCAGATAATAGAAGGTCCATTTCTTAAGTACACACAGCAAAGGAGAAGAAGAAATACTGGCTATGACACAAAATGAATTGTCTTCCTCTGTGCCCTTGTAACCTAGGGCATGTAGTGCAGGCTGCCAGCCATCGCGTTACAGATTTAGAAGTGCTGGAATCTCTCCGTCTGTAGCAGGCTGCCTGATGGATTGGTGAGTAATGGACTCGGGGAGTGCATTACCAGCGCCCAGACTAATGGCTAGTGCTTGCCCATGGCTTTGGCTATAGATCATCCATCGTGCTATTCATAAGCTCTTGCCAGTCTGTCTCTGGCACTTGTGCTGCCGCTGTAACACCATTTGCCTGAAAAATTCTGCACCAATGTCCCCCACGTTTTCCGAAGGTGAGGAGTAAATGAGGAGAAAACAGTGAGTCACAGTTCTCCAGTTCTCTCGCTCTTTGGAGGACATGGTAAAGGATAAGGTGATAGACATGATACTCACTCACCCAGTGTTACCAGCACAATAGCCTGGAAAATACATCCAGGGTTTCTGCACACCATGAGGCACCACCTAAGGAACCTGTGTCTGGGATCCTTGCTTTCCCAGACAGACCCATGTTACAGGCTGTGGCAAGATAGAAAGGGGAGAAAGAGGTGACTGAGGTGCTGAATATGACTCTGGAGAGCTGGAAGAAGTGCCTGGATGGCACTGTCAAGATTTGGCTGTTTGTGAGCTAAATGAGGTAGAACTAACCTTCACAGCAAAGACCATCTCTAGGGCTGACTTCTGGGCTGGCTTTGGTGGACAGGTCAGGTGTGTGCAGAGAGGAATGAGTTGCTTCCACTCCCACCAGGCTCGGTAGCCTTTCCTCTTCCTTTAGACTTGAGTAGGACTCCAGGGTTGTGGCTCCCTGGGGTGATTGAGATGAGCTGTATCCCTCTCTGGTTCTTTCACTTGGACCACTGCCCAGCAATGAGAAAAGAGCAATCCAGTCAGCTCTCAATTTAAACTGGTGACCCATCCCACCTCTGGTTGTGTGAGCCATCCAGGACCCATTCCAATTCCCAAGTGTAGCCTGGTCACTTTGCTGATAGTGAAGCTGTAAGCCTTTTTCTGCTATCCTGGGCTCTTTGGCCTTGTATTTTTTGCAAGAAGTTACTTAAAAATAAACTTCTGCAGTTCTTTATTAACTTATTCCTGATGAGAATTTGGAAAGGATGAAGGCTTCATCTAAGGAGTTTCCTCTACAGCAGTCATAGTAAAGATTGCTGCTAAAACCAGACAGCAGGACCAATACCATAAAAACAATGCAGATGAGGGAAATTTTTCAGTTCCAGGAGTCCCGTGGAACTAGAAATAGCCCAAACTGAGCAACAAACACTTTACATCTTCTAGTTTACTTCATATGTTAGGAATGTTTTGCCTTTTGAGGGAATCATGCCAATGACACTGATGTCCTTGGGATGCTAGATGTTACTCTCTTTTAGAGAACCACCTCTGTGTACCTGGGCTTTAATTTATGCGCTTGGGCATCTTTCAATTGGCCCGAGCAGGGATCAAATTCTGGTTCTTCATATTTGTCACATTAATTCCACAACCAAAAGTCTGGGTGCATTTTGGATACATAAGCAGGTGGAGGATGCAGAGGGTTACAGAGAAGGCAACGCTGCTGAACAGGAGATGCTATAAACCCAGAAATTCCCAGTGAGTATTGTCCATCAGTTTATTTGTGTGCTATTTTGGGAGATGTTTCTGCTAATAAAGCGTCATCAATCTATTATTTCTTTTGGCCAATCTTTCCCTTTCTCAGCCCACCTATATAAAACCTTACAGTGGCCTATATTTAACTGAGAATATCCTCTGCTTGTTCCCTCTGTTCCACTGTGAGTTTTCTTCCTTTAACAAGCACAACAGCATGCTGCTCCTGCTTCAAAGAGAAAATTAATTCCGTCCGCAAAAGGGTCAAGTGCTGGAAAGTGCATAGCAATGCAGTTTGCATGGCAGGATCCAGGAGATATGATGCTAATAAGATTCCAAGATGAGAACAGCAGACTGGCTCTGGGGATTCAGATGAAGGGTTCTGTAAATTTTAAAAGAAATGGTCTCCAAAAACTAATGATGTCTGCTTTCCAATTCATTAATAATGTGGAGCAGGGAGATGGGAGTGAGAAGCAGGCCATGCTTTGAAATATCAGAATGTAACAAGGAAAAAAACAGCGAGAGCTCATCTCACCGGGGTCATAAAGCTGGGAGGAACAGGCGGGCTGCAGGGGAACACAGTGTCGGTGCCTGGAGGGAAGGAAATTGCACTGTGTGTTCTGCGACCTGTAATTTATGCACAGACTCTTTGCCAGAGCTGATGTAAAATTTCTATGCAGAAAAAGATGCTGCTGTATTGACAGATCTTTTTCAATGTTCTTGTTTAAGGTGACTTAGTACACAGGATATCTGATGGGTTTTAAAAACAGATCTGAATTGCCTTAGCATATTTACAAATGGCTCTTGGTAAACCTTCCCCTTCACCTTTTTGCATTGCACGCATGAAACCTGAACCTTGTTTGTAGTTAATAGTGGAAGAAAACCCCTCAGGCAAAGCCTAATGAACCAAGACCAATTCTGAGCTTCCCTCTGCAATATCTGGAGAGCCTCTGCCTTTCTGAGGGCTCCTGGACACACCGTGTGACCTTGCTGCTTTACATCACAACAACCTCCCATTACTGCTGCAGCATTTGCTGTTGGTGCTGCTGTGCAGACATAATGCTGGAGTCTCTCCCTTGTGCCTGCAATGGGCAGCTAATGGAAGATGTCTGTGCCTGAGCGGTTTCCGGAGCAGGAAGGTGTGTGGCAGCAGGATTTAGCTCTGACTTTTATTTTGACAAAGCTAGTATGATTGCAAAGTGAGGTTAAGGGTTTCCTCCTATCTTTTCCTTTTATCTGTGTGATATTTTCTCACCGTGCCTCAAAACCTCCTGTCAGCAATGGCTGATGAGGTTCTGGGAGAGCCTCGCTGCCCTTGGGAGCTCTTTGGAGCCTGTGGATGCCGAGAGGTCGACTGTGGCACAGGGCAGGGGCTCCACTGCCAGCCCTCAGCCTGCCCATGGTGCTGCCACTGCAGTGGGACCTGCCCACACTGGGCTCCTGTCCCAGCAGTCAGCTCAGCCTTGCTGTTTGCCAGAGCAGGTTTTAGCCCCAGTAAGATCAGTGTCTCCTCTCTGCTGCGCTGTGCTGCCCTGGAGCCCTTTGCCTGTGCCTGCTCTCACAGTCTGAAGGGCCCATCTGTTTCCTTTAGCTCGAGCCACATTCCCTCAGCAGCAAGTCTTGCTCCGAGACAAGTGATCTCTCTCTAGTGCAGGAGCAGGGGTTTAGAGGAGTGTTCAGTGAGTGACAGTCTGTGCTGGGAATCCCTGTCCCCTCGGAACAGCTGTTTTCATGAGGGGTCACCCTCATGAGCTGCAGAATCAGGGCTGCCTGGGGTGCAGTGGGTGATCTGGGGGAGTTAGCTCACGGAGCCTGGCCAGGAGGCTGGAGCTGAGGTTTGTTTCCTTGCTAAAGCCTCAGCCATGGAAGTGGATGAAGTGGGGCTCTGCATCATGGCTGTAATGTGTTCACAGAACAGGTTATTTTCTTACAGTGTTTATAGGTGCTGTGTATTTCTTCAGTATAGAAGGGGCCCTCAAGTATTGACAGATGTGCCTCAGCTGTCCATAGAGCAACCATGGATGCATTGGCACCAGCTCCAAAAGCCACAGACTTCACTTGTGGGTTTTTTCTACATGTTCTTGGTCTCCAGTGGACATATCAGACTAACTTTACAGCAAACAGCAGGGTGATACATCCATGTGTATCAAATCCTCATATTTGCATCTCAGATTTTTCCTTGGACAAGAGCTGGGGAATTTGTGTCCTCAGGAAATCTTGAGATAGATTGATAAGAATTTCCTTGAAGGTTTTCCAGTGAAGTTCCTGGTTATAATTCAGTATCACCACACTTGCCTGCAGCCATGGTCAGTGAGTGAAGCAGGCGGGTGCTCACAGCTGCTGCAGTGGAGGTGCACCAGGACTGTCTCATAGCACTGGTGAAGAGATGAAAACCAGCTGGTACGTGGAGGCCCTTTTTGGTCCTGCTTTTCATGCAGACACTGAACAACTGGGGTGATTTCTGTGTCAGTGATCTTCCAGCAGAAATCATTCTGTTTTGCAACTTGGTAATAACAGTGTAGTCACCAGGACCTCAGAATAAGCTTGTATATTTTTAAGGTCTTCGCTTACTTCTGTGTTTGTCTGTGCTCCTCTGTGTATTCAGCCCAGCTTTCATCTTCTTTTTCTGGGCTTCCCCTCACTTACATGAGAATGCATGTGTGTGTCAATGATGAGTGTAGCTGTTTTACAGCTTCTGCTTTCCCTTCCTCAGCATCCAGCATCCCTGTGGTGCTCATGGGAGCTGCACAGATCCATTGCTCCTGAAAACCAGACCCTGTGCCTGTCACTTCAGAGTGTGCCCAGTGACCTGTGTTTCATGTGTCATCACCTGATAGGCCAGTGGGAGATGAGGATGCTGCAGTGAGAAGAGATGAGTGGTGGGAGGAACATGTCTGCACCCTTCACACAGCGAGTCGGGACATGGGGATGTCGGGCAGGGAAGGTATGTGTTTTCTGAGCTGCCTAGTTGTAGTTTTCTTGTTTCATCAGAAAACCCTGACTTTTCCATTGAGAAGGCAACCCAGAGCTCTGCCAGAGGGACTGTGTCTTGGTGGTGTTCAGATGTTGCCTTATGATCCCTTTTCCGCTCCTTTTAACACCCAGCAGTTCCCTTTCCAGCACTTCATACCAAGGGCTGTCTGATTATTCCTCGTGACGGGTGTAAAAACGCCTGGATCCATGGCAGCCCTGCCACAGCAAACCTCCTGTGAAGGGGGAGCTCTCATTGCAGATAACAAGCCAGATTTCCGTGGAAACCTGCACTGTTCCAGACCCTGGACAGGCCGCAGGTTCAACAGCAGGGCTCTGTTCTCCTGACAGACACTCAAAGGCAGATTTTCTTTTAATTAAATATGAAAATCTATAATGCAGTCAGCATGACGCCTCTTGGTATGTTTATTTTTATACCCCATCTATTTGTTTTGTTCTCAAATGTGCTTCCATAGGGAAGCTTCCATACTGACCATCTGTATATGAGGAGTGAATGGGACTGAAGGACTGGGAGAGTGGGACAGAGGTCAGTTTTGGTTTTTATTATCTGAGTGGACATCATTTACAGTTGTGGAATAAACACACCAACTGGTCTTTTCTAAAATAATACTGAAGTTGCAAAGTTGACATTTTTAAGCTGTTGTCCAGTGAAGTATTTCATCCCTCATACAGTTAACGCTTCACTTTCTCTCTCTACACTCAGAAAAAAATATTTATTGTTTCAGTAATATTCTGCCAATATTTTCTTATTTTTCTCTGCAGCCAAAGGGCAAAAAGCGTTTAATTTCCCCAGCATGAAGATAATGCCATGAGTCCCAGCTCTGTGGAGGAAACTGCTTGGCAGGACTGCTCAAGAGCCTCTTCCCCAGTATGGATTCCTTCAGGTTCTTAATTCCTCTGTGTCTCCCAGCTTTAGCTCATTCTTCCTCTTTGGCTTACTATTTTTCCTTTTGACCACTTTTCTATGCTCTAAGGTCAAGGGTTTTCCGTATGGAAAGAAGTTTAGCCCCTCCTAGCCTTTCTTGTGCCATTTGCCCACCTGGCATCACATGCCCCATACTAAGCCTGGCAGTGCTTGGGCATGCAGGCACTACCAATAGCAAGGATGTTCTCCTTTGATTCCCACCCAAAAGAAGAGCACATTTCCCATCTCCTCAGGCTGATGCTCGGACTGGACAACCTCCTCTCCCTTCACATGCTTGCACACAGGACAAGAGAGGGCTGTGCACCCCACGCTCCCACTGCCATGTTCCCATCCTGGTGCTGCCATTCTGCAGCTGGAGCCAAGCATGGCAGAGACAATGTGCTGGAGCATTCTGTCTGAGGGGAGTTCGGGGAGGGGAGAGGGAAAAAGGCTGTTAGATCTATCGCTGGCAATTTAGATTCAGAGACATTTCATCTGCAGTTCCCTCAAGTGTTGAATTGAATAAAACCAGCAGCAGCGGTGGAAAAGAAGGTGGGGGAAGGGCTTCGAGCACTCTCAGCTAAACAAAAAGAGACAGGCAGCTCATAAAAAAGGAATTGCATCCTTGGGCTGAAAATCTGGATTCACAGGGCAGAAGGGGAGGGCGCGTGGCAGAGCCCATCTGTGGCCAGGGGCCAGGCAGTGCTGCCAAGGGCTTCTGGTGCTCCCACAGCAAGAGCAGATCACAGGGCTTACTTCTGGGTTTCCTGATTTTCTGTGGATTTTTGAAGCTCCCGTTGTAGAATCAAGCAGGAAGAACAGAGTCCCAGGCTTCGGTTGCAATTTAAAAAAAACCCAATACTTCACTTTCCAGTGCTTCAGGAGAAAAGCACAAAAGTGAAACCCTCAAGGGTCAAAAATTCAGAAGAACAAGTAACTTAGCACTTATAATTTTGTAAACAGTTGCTGTTGAGGGCCAAACTCATCATTCTCAAACACAGCTGTGGGATGGCAGAACTGTCCTCACCATTAGATGTTTCTGTTCCTCTGCCTTTGAGGGAATTGTTGCTGGTGGCTGTTCTGGCTATGCACTGCAGCATTGGATTCCTCTGGGTTTGTCCCATTCCCTGGGTGTCAGGTGAGTATGGCTTTGACAGGAGCACTCAACCCAGCCAAGGGTGGGAGGAGAGCAACAGACATCAGAGAGAATTGGGTTATAGCAGAAAATAGAGCCTTGGGGTCTTTGCTGCCTTGTGTGAGTGTGATGCCAACACCTCTGTGGTGCTGTAGGGCTGACTGTGACTGCCCTCAGGCGGGAAGGCAGGCCTTTTGTTTGCCTCCTCTCCCCATCTTCTTTATTACTCTCCTGCTCCCTTGTAACACCTTAGTGACAGATCCTTATGCTTTGCTCAGCCCTGCTTCAGACCAGGTACAGGTGTGCATGCAGAGAGCATGTGCTCAGCCCTCCCTGCTTCAGAACAGGTCAGACCCCACAGCACTGAGTGACCCCGTGGTACAGCTGGGCAGCCCAGGCAGGTGTGTGACACGGGGCTCATTGTGACTTGGTCAAGTGCTGTGTTTGTGTTACAGTGTCCCCTGCCTTAAAGTGTCCCCTGCCTTCACAGTGCACCTATGGAATCCCATGTGAAACACAAAGGTGAGACCAGGGTGAGGAGTTGGGACTCAGGACAGCACCGACACCTTCCCTTCACGTCACTTCAGCTGTAAAACAGGGGTCATGATTGTGTCACCAGGGTTTGGGAATCTGATAGCCTGCAAAAGACTGAACCAGACTTACTGTGAATCCTGGACCAGAGAGCAGAGAACAGGAGAGTCTGTCTCATAGGCATCTATTTATGCTGCCCTGGTTTTCTCCCTGTGCTATCGATCCAGCAGCTTGCTAAGATACAGCCCTGCCTGCTGTAGTGGTTTAATTCATTTTTAAGCACCATTATTTTTCATGTTGTGGTCTTCCCCTGCTTGGGGTGCTTCTCACTGCCCATCCCCAAAAATGTCCATTCCTGTCTGTCTCTAGGCGTGCGCTGCTCCCACATGTGTGTGTGCACACCAGGGAGATGGAGAGGCAGCTTCAGCTACACTAAGCAATTAAACTCCGGTAGCTCAGGGATGAGCAGGAGGCCGTGATTTTCTTTTCCTTCGCAGTAATTGCCTCTGCAATCAGCTTTGATCACCCGAGAGCAGAGGAGATGAGTGCTGCAAGTTGACATCAGTGGTTTTAATATATCCATTTACATATACAGGAGCAGTGCAGCATACAGCTTTCCATAGCGCCTCTGACCTGAAACCATCGCCGCTCCATAGACACCTCATTTAATTTAATACTTCACCGCCACTGCGGAAGCCACAGGATGGGGATGGGAGGGGGGATAATCAAGCCCTCACTCTCTCGCTCTCCGTGAATGTCTGTAAAAATGACATGAAAGTAATTGCTTTTGAAAAGCAAAGCAGAAATGGCACAATTGATTCCACTTAAATGAGAGGAAGGGTGGGGGTGGGGGATGCTCACCCTAAACATGCCACCTTCTTTCCTGCTGCAAGCACATCACTGCGTGGGGCTATGTGGGGACAGAGGAAAGGTGGGCTTGTCTGAATGGTATATGGGGAAGGAGGGAAACTCAGGCAAGCAGTGCTGCTTTGGGCAGGATGCACATCCCGGCGAGCTTGGACCCATAGGCAGATGCTGCTCCATGGAGCCTTGTGACATCCCTTGTTGTCACAGGCACTCCTGGTGCTGGGGAACTGGCAGGGACCCTCATTGCATTGAAAATCCTAGAATCACTCTGCCTCCCAAACACACTCACCTGCCTGGCAGCTGGGAGAAGGGGAATGGTGAGGAGACATCAGCTCCTCTCCATCTCTCATCTATCTCTCATTATCCCTGTTGACAAAGCTTTGTGAGCCCATGGCTTTGGAATCTATCCAGACTGCTGCTGCTGGTGGGTGCCCACCCTTCTGCCCAGGACCTCCCAATGCCCGCTCTGTGAGCTGCCCAGCACAACCCTCTGTGCCCCTATCTGCAGGAGCCGGGACCTGGCTGTGCCAAGGTGTGGCCCTCCCAGTGCCATGCTGGCCCCGCAGGCCACACACCACCTCTGTGTGCTACAATGCATTTTTAATGTAGACATTAACATCATTTCATGTTAATTACATGCAAATTGATTATTAATGTATTTATTGAATGTTGACAGCTGGGTGACAGTCTTCAGTAAATATGTTTTACTAATCAGTTAGCATCTAATTAATATCGAAATCCTCTCTAGGTTTAACAAGAGTCAATGAACACTGATGAGGCCCCTCTTGCTGCCAGTGTTAGTGGATGCCAGCAGCACTGTGCCCAGCAGCAATGTGGGGCACAGCTGGGCCCAGGGGGGCCAGGGACAGTGGCACTGCTGGCAGGAAAGACAGACACGTGCTCCGAGGAAGAAGCCTCTGGGAGATGACACTCTTGGGAGAGCCTCCCCCCATGAAGCATGGCTCTCCCAAAGGAGGGAGTGCTGCCAGCTGGAGCTGAGGTGGTGGTGGCCAAGCAGTGTCCACAGGAAGCTCTGGAGGCCCCTTTTCCCAGGACACAGCGCTGCTTCTGGGCACACCTGGGCAGCAGAAGTGAGATGCTGTTCACAGCTGCAGTGACAGTGTCGCTGCACACAGGACCCTTGGTTATGGCAGGGCATGGCACAGTCCGCAGCCAGCAGCGCAGAGGAGTTCTTGTGCTAAATTAAACCACCAAGCAGACCAATTCCTGAGCTGCTTGGCCAGCATTTTCTCTTACCTCCCCATTCTGAGCAGGACAGGAGCCACGCAGAGCCAGCTGGTTGTGGCTCCTCTCACCCATCTGAAGAAGGTGAGCAAGCATCCCTGAGGTATCCATTGCCAAGTCATCGGGAGAGTGGCTTCACCTCAGGACTGTTGCCGCGCTGGGTCAATATTCGAGTCTTGTTGTGCTAGTGCTCCTTAGTTGACATCCATGATCCTTCCCTGCTCCCACCCTGTGTAAACTCCTTACACCTGGAACACCAAGAAGTGAAAATGCTGAGCCCTCAGAGATGTTCCTGTTCAGGCAGGACAGGAGGGGATGGCCAGACTGTGGGGTACTTGAGCCCCTTCCCCTCTGCTCCAAGGACAGCGCAGGGGAAATGCCTGAAGAGCTCAGCACGCAGCCAGAACAGCAGCTGGGTGTTTAGTTACTGGTTAGAATAACTTTGATCTTGCTCAGCTGCTCTTTGCTTCCCTCACCCAGGCAGTCTGATACCCCTCCATGAGCAGAGGCAGGTGCCTTGGTGCAGTGGAGTCTCTGCCTTCCCTGAGTTGGACATGTCTGGTTGCTGCAGGTGAGCATGTCAAATCACACCTACCATATTGGCTTCCTGTCCCCAGAACATCAGATTTTTGCAGCTGATGTGTGGGGGGGTGTCTACTCCCGCCAATCCCCACCCCCAGCAGCATCAGGCCTGTGCTGTTCGGGGTTTTGTTAAGCCGTTTAGTATTAATTGATTTTTTTTTCCATTTTTTCTTTCTTTCCCTGGGCGGGTCAATAGCTGGATGCTCAAGAGCAGAGGATCTATCAACTGCAGACCAAGCAGAGGGAGAGGCAGGCAGAACTGGAGCAGAAATGCAGCCGGACGAGCAGCTCAGCCAGGACCTGGGGGCCAGCCACCAGCTGCGGGAGGGAGCTCGGAGCAGGTAGGAGAAGATGCCAGCCTGGTATAGCTTGGAAGCCCAGGCTGGGAAGGGAACTCTGATGCATTCACAACAATAGTGATAATCTGCTGCTCTCATTTACATGGTAGCATAAGAAAGGGCTGAAAATGCGTCACCTCCCAGTGAGGAGGGGAAGGTTGAGGGCAGCAGGGAGATGGCCACAGCTCTGCTGGCTGTAAATGGGTGCTGGGATCGCAGTTGGTGTGGGGGTGTGATGGCTGTCACGCACAGATGTCCTGGGTGTTGCTCCTGCTGCTGAACTCGGAGAGATGGGAACAGGGTGGCCGCAAAGACACTGCCGCAGGACAGCACTGTCCTGGCTGGTGGTGACAGTGCTGTGAGCCAGGAGATGAGGCTTGCTGAGACCTGTTCAGCTATTTTGCTGTGGATAAAACCCTCAGTTTGTTCCCGGACATCAGGGTAGGAGCACCCTCATTTCCTGCTGGAGGCCTGCTGGGCAGCCTGGGCCAGTCTGCTCCATGCTGGGTCTGTTTGCCCCTGTGCTGCTACAGACCCCCTCTCCTACCCCTGTGTTTCAGAAGCTGTAGGAGTCAGACTCTTTGCTCAGTGTGTTCCTCTGGCATGTGAGCCTGGCTTGGGAGAGCACAGTCGCTCCCGCCTCTGCAGCCATCTGGCTGTCTGCCTGATGTCTGCTTGGGCACCGGCATTCCACGGCATTCCTCAGTGTATTCTGACCACAAGCTCTCATTCAGATCCACATGGCAAACAGGGGTGAGGAGAGCTGGTCCTGGAAACCTGGGCAGCTGCTGCCACACACTGCAGCATTACTTGCTTAACCTGTACCCTTTTGTTGTCCCCTTCAGCACCTCATAAGATGTTAAAAAAAAGTGTCTATTTTAACAACTTGGTAGTTAAATATGCTCAGGGTTCTAGTAGAATAAACCAGGTACTTTTGACATTGGAGCACCAGGTGGTGCTGGATGGCAGGATGAACTCAGCAACGCTGGTTTGTCTGAGCAGCAGCTCACTGCGCAGCATTTAAAATCAGGATGGGGGGTCCCTTTTATTAGTCAAAGGGGAAACATTTTGTTTCATTTAATGTGGTGGTGATTAATATATTCATATGTTCATATATATAGAATAATACATATATTGCATCATATATGAACACAGTGCACTGATTACATTCATTGCATTTGAAGGAAGGTAATGAGATGTTGTTCCATTTACTCCCACATCATCCATTGTTCTGTGTGTGAGGAGCCAGCCCAGCGCGTGGGCTGAGCTGTGCGCGGTGAGCCCTCGCTCCGACTGCCCACAGTGAAGGCGGGAGCAGGACGTGTGTGCCTTTGTGTGTGTGTGTGGATGGAGGCGTTCTGCACATGCATATGGGTGACCGTCTGCTGACTTGTGCAAGCCCAGCATGGGAGGGTGGGAATCACACTCTGTTTCTTCTTATTCCCTTCCCATCTCCCCATCCGTTGATACCAAATTCAGCTGAGTTTCACTCCTGGTTTTGGTGTGAAAGTGGCAGATAAAACAGCCCAGCTCTCAACTTTCTCTTACAAAACTCCCAATTAAAGTACTGAGCATCAAGCCCTGTTACATAAAAATATAACACAATTCGGTGGCAGAACAGTGTTCCACCTGGCTCTGTGTCTGGCAGCAGCTTATGCCCCTGCCTGGGAAGGAGCTCTTTTCCCCTGGGAAAAGCAGGAGAAATTTGTGATATCACCACAAGATGCTAGCCCACCTTCTGTGGTGAAAGGGCTTCCTGAGCCCAAGCAGGAGTCTTTGTGTTTAACAGCCCTTGAGGAATTGTCATCTCTAACTTGTCAAACTAATTTTGTAACTCAGATCTTATCCAACTTCTGCAATGTCCTGTAGCAGCAATTTCCCCTGCTTGACCACGCATGGGATGAGAAGCCAACTCCTTTGGTTTGTTTTGAACCTGTCCCCTGACAATTTCCACTGTTTTATTGGAAGAGACCATGAACAGTCACTCCTTAGTCACCTTCCTGTGACACTTCTGATTTTATAGACCTCTGTCATATTTCCTTCCCATCATCCTTCTTCCAGACAGAAGGGCTCCAATATATTTTTCTGAGCCAGCCCCAGTTGCTGATAAATCTCCTGGTGTGGGGGCTCAGGGCTCCCAAGGCTGGTGGTCCCGGGTGCCTGCAGCAGGCAGCACACACCAGGAGTCCTCTGCAAGGAGTGCCAGGTGTAATTTAACACTGGGAGCATGAGTTATGGTCCTGCCCTTTACGGAAAGGCTGGCAGCGCAGCCCTGCCTGTCATCTCAGTCCCCCACCTGATCATGAGCTTTCCTGGTGAATGAATCAGGATTTGGCATATCGTTCTTTAATACAGCCCCCATGCTAATGTCTTTTTGAAATGAAACCGAGAAAGCTGTTAACCTCAGTTAGCCAGCTGTCCTCACCGTGACCTGGATAAATCATCCAAGCAGGAGCGCCGAAGAACACTGCTCTGGCTGCTTTGGAAAATGGAGCTGGAAGGGAAGGACTGTGCTTTCAGCTCATGCCAGGAAGACTCCTCTGCACCAGGACTGTGCAGCAAAAGGACCATTGTGTTCTCACACTAGGGACCCTGATGGGGCTCCAGGCTGTGTGTCAGGTCCTGCAGACAAGTCCACTGGCACGCTCCCTCCCTGGCAGACACTGAGGAGTCATGGTGTCACACCACAGGTGGGAGAAAGGCAATGTGTTGTGTCTGGAGAAGAGAGGGTGGCTTCCCACAGGGACCCCAGAGACTGGTTCCTTTTGCCCCTGCCACCGGGCACATCTCACCGTCCAGCCCCTCCTCATGACCATCTGGTTGTCCACATTCCTTCCCTTCAGCTGGAAGCTGGATTTTCCCCAGGGATATCTCCTTCATCACATCTGAAGGCAGCTGGCTTTGAGCTGATGCCTCTGGGGTATGAAAGGAGATGAAGAAGACAGTTTGGTGGCTGCCCCCAGAAGAAATGAATCTACAGGAGTAGGGCATTTCTCTCCATGGGCTGTTGTGACTCTGGGAGCTGTTATCTTTATAAAGGCCTTGTTACTTCATCTGCTCTCACAGGGCGCTCATAGATGTTGCTCTGTGTGGTAGGGAGTTCCACTAGACAGGGTTTCTTTTGTTATTTATGATCTGGCTGTTTTGTTGGTTTTGTTCTTATTTTTAATTTTTGCATGACCGAGGAAATTCACAACACCAGCTGTATCTAAGAAACTCCTGGAAGGAAGAACAAAGCCATCTGTTCTCCGTGTCCATGAAGGAACACACAAGAACTAATGGCCAGAGCCTGCATCAGAACAGATCCGGGTTAGGAACAGTTTTCTAAAGGGGAGAAGAACAGAACAGGTGACAGACTGCCAGGCTCTGAGGATCTTGCATTACAGGAGAGCTTTAAGGACAGATACACAATACACACAGCACTTGTAGGTTCCCCTGTCTCAGAATTGGAAGATGGACTATCAGTCTCTTGAGGTTCATGCCAGCCTTGCTCATTTCCTAAATCTATCCCTGTTCACACCTTGAAACACAGCTCTGCCTTTCCCGGAGCTCCACCACATCACCTTCAGTGTTGCCCCTTTTACTGCTGACCTGCCTGGTGCCAGGTTCCCCAGGAGGCAGAACATGTGCTGTAACATGCTGAAAGGAGCAAGCAGAGCCTGGAGGATGTCAGTGGGTGATGAAGGCTCCGATACCACCATCTGCATGACATGTGCTGCTGTGCCGCAGGCTTTGGCCGGAGCAGTGCAGTCCCACCCGTGGTGGGGAACACAAGAGTGGATGAGGCAGATGGGAGGATAGATTTGCTATCAGAACTTTTGGATTCAATTTTCCTTCTCATCAGAATAGCTGTGTGCAGTTTCTTACATGTGCTGCTCTGCAAATGAGTTGTGCAGGACATGGCTGCAGTCAGAGACCACCTGGGGAGCATGGTCGGTTTGGGGCTCACAGCTTGGCTATGCAGGGTTTGGCCCAGGCACCACTAGGGCAGAGTCTGGCTGACGTACGGGGCTCAGCTCCCTGGAAACTGTAGGAGTTTGCTGTCTTTGGCCTTGCCCCACTGTGCAAGGGCAGCCATGGAGCATCCTCAGAGGAGGGTGGAATGGTCACAGGCACAATACCCTACACCGTGTACCCTATACCATGTACCATATACCATACACCAGGACACAGAGCCACTCGCAGACATCTCATCACTGTCAGCAGAGAGACAGGGACAGAAACACATGGCCACAACAGCCAGGGGAACTGTGAGCCAAGGTGAGCCGTTATTTGTGTAGACACCAGCAAGGAACCCCACCGGGCACCTGGATCTGAGAGTCAGTTCTACAACACAGGCATTAAAGAGGGAATAAAGAAAATAATAGAGCATTGACTAAAATGGTCGGCAAGGCTGATTTCTCTCCATGCAGCCTCTGAAGGAGCAGACTTTGGGGCTGGGGAGGAATAGGCAGCCTCCAGGCTGTGAGGCTAATGCAGAACCATGGCTGTTTGTATAGCTGCAGAGCCTTTAAGAGAGACTTGGGAAAACTAGCCTGGATTCCAATGAATATTTACAATTACATTGCTCCAAAGCTGAATCCAATCACAACACTGCAGTGTGCAGGCTTTGTGCATCAAAAGAAAATGAGAGGAAAGCAGGAAAGATGGAGTTGCCTTTGGAGGGACTTATAAACACAGATCTCTCTGCTTGTGGCAGAACTAAAATGCTTTATTTCTGATAGGAGCAATTTGTTCTTCAGGCATTTTGCTTGATATTGGAAAGTGCCTGGCTGGTTTTTGAAGTGAGAGTCTTCAGTAGAAGGTCTTTAATTCAGAATGAAGGAAAGAAATGGAAAGTGTTGTGGTCTGTATTTTGATATTGTACTAATGAACTCCAGAAACAGAGGAAATAGGGGAGCATTACCAAACTAGAGCAGGGGCCCCTTCCACTCACTGTGTTCTTGGTCACCACGTAGAACCAGGCTGGGCATTTAAACCATGCTGCTAATATGGAATTTGGCTGGTTACTGTGCCGGCTAAGCACTCACTGCAGGCTCAATATTTGCCTCTTCTTTCTTGTAGTGGAAGGTATGCAAAAACAATGGTGACCAGGAATCACCTTGATAAAAAGATGGAGGATTTGTGATTGCACTGCAGGGAGCAGTGTGCCGCAAAATAGGAAGTGTGTGACAAAGCAGAGGCACTGCTTGAAGTGACAACAGGAACAGCACCATGCAACTGACTCCAGGAGCTGCTTTAGTGGCCTGTCCATTCTGCCCATCCTGCCCAGGCAACCCATGCAGCTGCCTTGCTGCTCTAACCTACAGGACTGTAAACAATCAGTGGTCTTGGTGTGGTCCCACAGCACAAAACCCCCACTGCTCTCAATTAATTTTAAGTATTTAAGGTATAGCATTGCATTCCACCATGCAGACATTGCTTAGCACCACAGTACCACAACAGCAGGAGCTTTGAGAGAATCAGGTTAGGATTTACACCGCAAGAACATGCAAATTGTTTGCCACAGTGTCTGCTTACAAGCCCAGCTGACCTGGGAAAGCCATATCTGAAGGGTAAGCCCCCTCCTTCCCCACAGCCCAGCAGGCAGCATGTCCCACCCTGGACAGAGGGCAGTGGGGGGCTGCTTCTAGCCTGCGCTAATTCCTCTCCGTGGTTTGAAGAAAATGCTGTCTCCTGGTGCCTGTCACCTCGTGGCTGCACAGATCTCTGCTGCTGGCTGGCAATCTGAAAGGATGCTGGTGGGAAATCCCGGGAAGCTGGTTTCTGATCTGAGTCAGTCACACTGCTGGTGCAGGGATGCACTCCATCACATGCAGGCATGGCACAGGGGGTTCCATGCACCTTGGCACAGGCTGCAGTTGATAGCCCTGAGTAGGAACCCGCAGTCAGTATTATATTGTCTAAGAGGCTTAAAATCAACTGTGAAGTTTCAGCATAGCTACAAACCCCCTGTTTTCTGTTTCTCCACTGATAGCTTGTTCCAGAAGATGGTGCAATTTGGTGATTGATTCCTGGAGTCTGGCTGGTGCATCTGCACTGGGGTATAGAAGGCACAGACCCTGCCGTGATGCCCAGAACACTCTGCCAGTGCCAGCCACCCACAGCTCACAGCTCCAGAAGCAGAAGCGGAGCATTCCATCAATGTGAGTGGATATTTTTCTCCCATTAAAATGTTTAATTTATTTTTGAATGCACATGAACTTTGAGGGCCCACCATACCCTGTGTGAAGCAGTCTGACACAGCACATGACATTAAAAAAAGAACTCTTTTTTGTTTTGTGATTATTACCTGCTAATTTATGGGGTGCTGCTGGTTCTTATATTGAAGGGACAAAGAGAAATCATACTGCAGACAAGTTCTATTTGCCGAACTTGATACTATAATTGTCTTCAGTCATTTCTTTTCCAGTCTAAAAAGACTATTCACCTTTTCCTCACATGGAAAATACTCTTTGCATTTGATCATCCTTGTTGCTCTTCTCTGAAACTCTTCCAACTCTTTTTCTAGAGAGAGGCAGACAAAGCTACATATGGAAATCACAGCGCACTTCCACCATGGATCTCTTCAGTGGCAGAACTGTGATCTGCTCTGCATTATTTTTCTGATAATTGTTAACAGGCAGTTTGCCTTTTAGGCTGCTCCTGGGCACTAAGCAAATATTTCCACACCTCTATCTCTCCATCCCCATCTGGTTGTATCTAGCACAGCTCCAGGCCCTCACTCCCGAGGAGGAACAGAGCTACAGCAGCTGGGACTGCAATGAGATCTTGTGAGCAAGATGGTGCAAACATCCCAGATCCTGAGTAAGATTAGGCCTACCTGGCTGTGTCATACCTTGGAGACTGGTATAGTCTGATAAACATTGAAAAAAGAAGAAATAATGATACATGGTCAGCCTCACCACACTGCAGACCGGGACTCTTCCAGGCAGGTCTACCCTCAAGTATCTGCCCACCTGAGGGGCTGAGTAACCCTGTGGGGAGAGCTCAGGAGCCAGCTTTTCACCAGAGCCAGGCAGAATAGCCAGGAAGGGCCCACATTTGCCCTGCACTTGGACATGGAGCCTCCTTAGGCAAAATGCCTGTGCCTGTGGAGTCTTTTCCCTCCAAGACCTCACCTTCACCATCACATGGAGCACTAAGGTCATTGTGGTACAGGCACAGGAGCACCAGTGGCCCAGGGACACAGGGACAACCCAAGTGGCCCAGGGACAGGCAGCCCACGTGGGGCAGGGGTGAAGAGCAGCTAGCCCCATCACCCAGGCGTTATGGGACCTCTCACAGCCCATCACAGGCATGGCTCCGCAGGGAACACTGCTGGAGCCAGATGGATCAGCACTGGCATGAAGTCCTACCCAAGAGCACAAATAACATCATGTTCTTGTGGTTCTCCTTTGCACTTCCTTCCTGCAGATTCCCAGGATGAGTAGGAATGGATTGGGCAGCCTGATCTCCTGCATCTGCAGCCAAGGAAATTTCACCGTGTTACTGGGGAATTCAGAAGTTGTCTGACTAAGACAGTTTCAGATGGGCATTCAGCTGGGCTTGAAGACATCAAGAGAGCAAAAGCATTACGTCCTCCCTTGGCAGTCAGTCCCTTCGCATCACTCCTACTGATTTTTTTTCTCTGATTACTGCTGTGCCAACAGGGCTAATGAAGCTTTCTGTGCAGCAGCAGTATAGGTCTCAACTTTGTTTCCTTTTGGTTTTTTGCTTTATATTAGAATGCTCCTTTCTTTTTGGCCAGAGACTTAAGGTTAACCAGGGAAAGGGAAAGGGAAAGGGAAAAAGGGAAAGGGAAAGGGAAAGGGAAAAGGGAAAAGGGAAAAGGGAAAAGGGAAAAGGGAAAAGGGAAAAGGGAAAAGGAAAGCTTTCTGCCTCCCTTCAGCCCCCATGTTTTCCCAACCTTTTCCAACCCACTGCTGCCATCACTGCCAGCTTAAAGGAGGCCCCAGACGCTGACGTGGCTGTCCGGGTACACCATCCCTCTCTCCCAGACTTAGTGGCTGTAACTGCAAGAACAACCAATGCCTCGTGTCCTGTGACCAGACCTAAGTAGTGCTGCTTTCCCCTCACTTATTCCTTCCTTTTTCCAGCGGGATCTCTGCTTCCTGCTGATTTCCAACTCATGGTTCCTTATAGGAACATGACAGCTCCTGCACAGCTTGTGTATGTCCTTAACCCACAGATTCAAAAAACCAAGATGCAGCTGACAGCAGGAGCAGTGGAAATGGTGCCGTGATGGCGTGAATACACAACAGCCTCAAGAGCACTGCCAGCACGTGGGCAGTGGGCAGGAGGTGGCCCTGGGGGCTGCTGCACCCCTGCAGGGTCACTCCTGTGCTCTTCTGCACCTTCCCCTGGCCCTGGGGGGAGACATTTAAACCCAACCAGCACTGGGCAGCCTGCTCCGGCTGACCCTGCCTAGGCAGGATGAGGGGATGAGCCAGGTGACCCTGTGTTTGAGCAATGGGAATGTCACAGGGTTGGCTCCTGTGTGACTGGAGTGGGTGGGCCCCCACATGCACCAACATTCCCCACTCCAAGTTTTTATGGGAACAAGTGGCGGATGAAGGGACAGAGGAGACGCGAAGCACTGCTGTCCACTCTGGGACGTGGCCTGGGCTCTCAGTCTGCACCGGGAACACAGCAAGGCAGGTCCCGACCCATTTTTGCCACTGTGGCTGTTTCCCCCTGCTCTGTTTATACACATCCAGTTTGTTCTCTCTCCATTTCCTGGCGAGGACCCTCTCCCGAGAGCTGCCGTGGTTTTTTAATAAGTATTTTTCAAGTAGCTGGCCGAGACCCCGGGAAGGATAATGAGATCATTCCCAGTGCGGAATGCAAAGCCTGCAAGCCTGTGCCAGTTGTTGTCGCTCCCGGTGGACCCTGCCCACGCTGCCGGTATTGCTGTTGCTGTTCCTCATCCCAAACACAGGAGCGTGCCCCGGGCACGGGCAGGGGTCGGGCCAGGGTACAGCTCCCTGCCAACAGGAATACCTGGGAATTGTCACTGAAACCGCCCAGAAATAAGCTTCAAGGTTCATTAAAATTCTACCGACGCAAACGCTGATCCCATTCACGAATCCCATTCCCCTTTCAGGACCCGCTGGCCCTCCACCGGCCACAGGCTGCGGTCGCGCTGCGGCGGGGGCACCGGGCACCCCAATCGCCGGGAATCCCCGCACGGGTACCCCGGGCCCAGGCAGCGGTCCCGGCGCGCCGCCCAGCCCCGACCGGGACTGCGGCGGAACAAAGGTGCCCGGGGGGTGCCCAGGAGGTTCGGGGGGTGCCGGAAGGTGCCCCTGAGGTGCCCCTGAGGTGCCCCTGAGGTGCCCCTGAGGTGCCGGGGCCGCCGGGGCGGAGCCGCCCCCAGCGCGAGCAGGGCGAGCAGCGCAGCGCGGGCCGAGAGCGACCCCTGCCGGGCGCGGGGAGAGGGGGCCGGGCGCGGGGAGAGGGGTCTGTCCGCGCGCCTGCGCGGTGCGTCCGCCCGCAGAGCTCGGGACCCCCCCGCTGTCCCCGGACACCCCCAGAACTCCAGATCCCGGCACACCCGCGTGCCCGGACCCCCTGTCCCGGAGCCTCCTGGGTTTTTTCACTCTCTTCTTTCCTTTCATCCCCAGTCCCCTCTCAGCCCCTGCCCAACACTGGCACAGGTTGCCCAGAGAAGCTGTGACTGCCCCATCCCTGAAAGTGTCCAAGGCCAGATTGGACCGGGCAACCTGGTCTAGTGGAAGGTGTCCCTGCCCATGGCAGGGGGTGCAACAAGATGAGTTTAAAGTCCCTTCCAACCCCAACCCTTCTACAATTCCTCGATCCCACAGCAGGCTCTGCCAAGCAGCCATGTCATCTCTGTCAGTTTTGTCACTGAAATGCACAAGCAGTCCCGGATGGAGCTGCTCCCACAGCTCTCCAGAGCTCTCCAGACCCTTCCCCACACTAATCCTGGGATAGTTGGTTGGGCTTTCGTTTTTTCATTTTTCCTTTCCCCTTCCCAGCAAAGGCTGACGGAGGGGGCCCGAAACATGATTCTGAGGTCAGAGTTGGGCTACCGAAGGATGGAGTCCAGTCTAGCTAAAATGTATGCTATTTTTCCTGTGGTTACAATTATTTTTAATACCAGTAATCTTTTACATGCAAAACTTCTCCACTTATTCCATAACTCAGGAATAGTTGAAAGGAGGTTAATCAAACACCTGAATTAAATGTATTTCTACGCAAAAACGCAACATGGAAAATTTTAGCTGCAAACAGGAGTGTTCCAGGAGTTTGGCCCAAGTGGCACAGGCCGTGACTGTGGTCCCCAGCCTGCAGACAGTGACATACAGGTGACCTCAGCTCCCTTGCTGCTCAGGCACAGCCCCCTGAGCAGGCTGGGAGCCTGCACACAACCTCCAGCCCAAGGTCTGAGATAGCTCACCTGGAGCCTGGGGCACCCCAGAGGTGCCCAGGGATGGGGACCCTAGCTCGGGGCACCAGGGGGGCAGTGAAGACCTCACTCAGTGTGTCCCACCCCACCATGGGACCACCAACATCAGTGTCTCCTTTGGGATCAGGCACAGGTGGGCAGAGCTGGAAACAAACCATCCAGACTTGGTTCCAAGTGGCCGTGGATGGCCCATTGTCCAGTTTGTTCTGCCTAGAGGTAACCACTCCTGCATGTGCTGTACTCCAGTTTCAGTTTGGCTTGTCTCAGCCATCAGACTGGCATGCATTTTCACCTGCTGACCCAAGAGCCTCCTCCTAACGGCTCTGTTCCCACTTTCCGCTGTTACATTCTGATGTGTGACCAAATTACCCCTCACTCTGCATCATTTAAGTCATGCAGGCTGACGCAGTGCCTATGTCTTCTCCTAGAGTTCCCAGAGTCCCTATGTCTTTCCCAAAGTTCCAAGGTCCCCCTGCACCATGAGCAGTGGGAGCACGTGGGCCCCCACTGCCACCAGGGCCATGTTGCCACCATGGCTGGACATTTGGCTGCACAAGCTGCCACTGGCATGCCCCACACACCACTGGGATGTGCCAGTGCAGTGGCTGCTGCTGCACAAGCTGCTTGTGCATTCACAAGCAGTGTAGGTACAAGCAAGACCTCAACTCATCTAGTCCTTTGGCTCCCCTTTGTGAAATGGGGATCAGAACACTTGTTTTGCAGAGAGGCCCTGCAGTTCGGTTCCTGAATATAAAGTGGTTTGAGCTGCTGTGGTGGAAGGTGCTGGGGATGGACAAAGGGGCACCAATGGCCCAAAATTGACGGAGCCCCAAGCAGTTGCACTGTGTTTGCTAAGCCAAGTGTGTAATCGGCACACATGGGAGACATGTTGGCTTGGGCTGTGTCACTCACAGCAGCTCAGAGCGCTCTCACTGCGAGCTCGCGCTCCCCAAGAGGGGCTGTCGGCGTCTGCGCAGCCACGGAGGACGGGTGAGGAGCAGGCGAGGATGGAGCTGGCGGCGGCAGAAGCGCAAGATGGGTATCATCAGCACACAGCCATGGCGCCGTCCTCGGAACAGAGAACATCCAAACCTCCCTCCTCCCCCCACCCCTGCCCGCCAGCTCTCCCAAATGAAGTCCCAGCTTTGTTTTCCTGATTTCCATTTTGTATCCTAAAATATTCACTCCAAGTTCCGCTTGACAGACAGCCCTAATCTAATCTCCATGTCTGCTTTCTAATTTTCGCAGCCGGGATAAAACAAATTGGCTGGCGTTAATTGCCTGTGCAGCGGCCTGGAGCTCTGAGCCGTGATTTACGAGCTCGGAGCAGGCGCTCTGCAACACATTTTTCTTAATTTATTTTTAATGAGTCTCTCAATTAATTTTCTTGGAAACATCTTAATGATGTTGGAGGCGGGTGTTAATGAGGTTTGTACCAGTGCCTCATTTTGCATATTTTAAAGTTCTGAATGGCATCACAAGCAAACTCCTGGTCCTAAAACAGAAAAAAGGTTAAGGCTAGAGAGTGGCACCCACCTGGGCTGACCCTGCTGCCCTGGCTGAGGCTGAGGGGCTGCATGGGCCGGTTGGTGACTGTGAACATTGTGAGGCTGAAGCCAGCTGAGCTCACAGGGATGGCAGGACTTTGGCAGCATGGCGGGGCTGAGGGGCCACACTGGGGCATGGCTGGTGGCCAGATGCTTCTTAAGAGACAGAATGAAAGCCTGGACTCTGGACACTGAGACCTCCATGCTGGCATCCCCCATGTTGTGGACGTCCCATCCCCTGCATCCCCCTGGCCAGACCCTTTGGGTAGGAGCGCCCTGGGACACAGGATGGGGCTGCCTGGGGCTGGCAGCTGTTGGGTGCTCCAGGGTGTCTCTGCTGGCCCACAGGGTCCCCAGTAATTGCTGGTGTGTGTGTGCCAGCAAGAGGCAGCGGCAGGATCGCCTTTGTTTTCTCCCAGCATGTCAGTCTTCATTAAACCAGAGGGGAATGAAAAAGGATTCACTTTTGTCCCAGCCTGAACGCGGCAGCTGTTTAATTTCAATTAACGTGGCACTGAAAAGAATAACATTACGGCAGTAATTAAAGTGAGACAACTCCCACCCCCAGGACTGCAGCTCACCCAGCAGAGGGGCCAATTTGACCACCCTGTCCCCTCAGCACTAGTCAAGCTTAGGTGGGCAGCTGTGGGTCAGGGCTGCGGGGCTGCCCCACAGGCTCATAGAGAGCTGGAGCAGGGTCAAGCCCTTCCAGAC